AAAATAGTAAACAAACTAAGTAATATTTTATCTAAACAGTATGAACACTATGAGATAGGAATAAATGAGCAATAAAAGTAGTATTGCCTAATTTTTAGTAACATTTATAATAGGTTATTGCCTTAATATCATTGCAATATAACTACTGCATATATATTTTAACTAAAAATTGTATGAAAAAGACTGCATGCATTGCAGATGTTCCAAAACGAAGCTGCCATCAGGCAATTACAAACATACATCCGGGTGTTAAGGAAAAAGTACCCAGACAAGACATTAGAACTCGACCAACTCAAAATAAGAGAACTTGAAATAACCAAATCGCTTAAAGAAATCCCATCAATAAACAAGAATTTACAAAAGGATCCAGGGAATGTCTCTAAAGAGGAATGGAAACGTGATAGACTGAAACATGTGCAGCTGTTGAGGCAACTTGGTAATCTTCATAAAGACATTGCTAAAATCGAAAGTAAACCAATGGGGTATGTTAAGGCAATCAGCATTTATGAAACAGGAATAGTGCAGTGCGGAGCTAAACTGCCCAGTGACAGTGAGTTATCTAAATATAAAGAAGAACGGCGATCTGCTCTCAAACTTTTCTTCAAAAATTGCATTGGAACAGATATATCAAACAAATACTTTGACGATGAACAAACGAATAAAGACAAACTTGAAGCAATACGAAGTGAATTGAAAGAAAGAATCTCACAGATTGATAAAAACAAGGAATGTAACTGTTATGAAACTGGGATCACAAATGAAGAAGAAAAAACGAAACATGAAGTAGAGAGAATAAAACACATTGGAGAGATCTTTAAGTGGATCTTTCGGGAAATGAAAACGTTCATACAAAGTCTGGTACAGCAGACTTTGGATCTCCTAAATTTCTACGACAAGGACTTCGCCTTAATTGCATTTGGGTCATTCTCAAGAAAAGAAACAACTCCTTTCTCTGATGTAGAATTTGCTGTAGTGCAAAACTCTGAGGAGTTGGAAATGAAGCGTGAATACAGAGAAACCATTAACAAGATGGTTATGATCCTTCACCTGAAGTTCCTAGCATTTGGTGAAACCGTCCTCCCAGCAATGTCAGTACCGTCACTTAATGAGGTTGACCTCAATGACAAAACAAAGGACTGGTACCTTGACTTACGAAGTTATGTTAATACAAAACAGGGAATCTCATTTGATGGACTGATGCCAAATGCAAATAAAACACCCTATTACATCAGTCCTCAAAATTACCGCTTCCGATTGACAAATACAAAAGCTGCATTCATAGAGAACTATTGTGAAATGGAAGAAAGTGATCTAAAAAGGGAATTATACTTCTTCAAAGGGGACTTCACGACACTATATGGAGACAAATCCGTTGAGGATGATTTGAAAAAAGCATTCAAGGAAAACAAGGCTCGAAGAGAGACAATTTTAAAGCTTATCAAAAATCAGCTCAGTGAAGACTTAGTCAAACACTCCTGTATAAAGAAAATGTACGACGGTAAATACAAGAAAGAACTGATAAAGAAAACATCACTTAATGTAAAAAAGGAGATTTATCGCTTACCAAGTGTTGTAGTAAACAACTTACTCCACTTGATGAACAGTAATGCAGATTGTATATGGGACGTTAAAAAGTTAGAAGGTTTGAACAGTACGAAAACACACAACTTGAAAATGATATAATGTAATGCTGCAGAACTGCGACTTAGGTGTTACACAGAAGGCAATGGTCAAGTAGACGAAAAGAAAGGCCAACTGTTACCAAAGCTACTTGTCAAAGATGGCATTGAACAATCAACCTTCAGTACAGATCTCATTTTGCGCTACTACCAAACTGCGATACCACTTGTCTATGCAATTGAGGAAGAGAAATCAAGAGACACAGTTGAAAAGATTGGACAAACATCATTATATGATCCATCTGACCTGAATAATGCAATCGCCTACATGCTGATGCAAAATCCAGAAAAGGCCAAGGAACACTTGATAAAAGCAAACGAAACATGTGAGAGCTCTGAGCCAACACGACTGATTATGCATATTCTGTGCAATATGTACATTGAAGATGACAATATAATCAAGTCTTTCCTGGACAATTTGAAACCTAAAGTCATTGAAAGTAAAAACCCAGATACCATGAATACATATGGTGTCGCCCGCCAACAAAAGGGTGATATTGGAGAAGCTATTGAAGTACTAGAGACAAGTGTTGAGGAATCGCCACAAGACATCAATTCGTTAACACTTTTGCTGTCAGCTTATGAGGAGGGCGGGGAGACAACAAAAAAAGAATACATCTTGAATAAACATCCAGCATTAGCAGAGGTGAGCACATAAATGTTATATTTTAATACAAATCTTTCTTGATAATTTTTTCAGACCTCAACAATCTATTCATTTGAAACAATTATTAACGAATAAAGGTTACTTTTAATCCTGAAGTTTTATACAAATGTAATGCGAAATAGCCTGTCGATTGGGTGTTTGCACCTTTCCTGTCTCAAAGTCCAAATTATTTATCACCTTTAAGAGTGCTTGTCATTAAGTTAATGAATTGGCCTAACATACAGATCCTCAGAACATAACAAAAATCCAGCGTGTGACTGTTTGAAATCTGTTGTAAAACTTATGTGGTCTTTTTATGTATTAATATGTTTTTCATATATTGCAAATAAGAATTTTATCATTCAGTATTAAAAACAACTCAATAATGCATCCACTCAAAACAACTGTTATCAAATAATAAGTTAATTTGATAATTTACCTTTCAGATTCACAAACTGAGAAATGACCTCGAAAAAGCAAACCACTCGCTGGAAATTGCAGAAGCCGAGGTACATATTGTATTACTTGATTTATGAAATGACAATTGCTGTAAACATTTAATTAAAATATGACTTAAATATACCCAAAAACAGCAGTATAAACCTGTACTTACACATTAACATAATGGGCTGGTAGTGGCAAATAATAACCTGACGGAAGAAAAACACAATTCAATTCAATTCAATTTATTCATGTAAATAGTTCATAGTATTAATATAATTACATATAGTAGGTGGCATCATTTGCAGACGCTTATACCCACACATACATTAGCAGAATATGTAAAATATGTATTGAGTAAGAATAATTGAAACTTTAATTTAAGTTAATAAATGACGTCCTTATAAAACGTCAAAAACTGAAATAAATTCTTGCTTTAATCGACACATATATTATGTTTATCTAAAGCCATTTCAGAAAACATGATCCAGATACTTCTGTGCAGTGAAAGTTATTTGTACTTTTCATCAGTTGTCTATTCTAGAATTCATGTTTATCTCTATCCTAGGATCAGATGGGAAGTTTGATATGATTCCAGTGAATGTGTGAAGAGTCCACTAAGTTTGCAGTTATATAAACATAAGTAAATGGGCAGGGCAATTAATAGCACACATCATACAGTGTATATACAAATGAACAAATATGCCCAACGACATTCATGTTGATGTGACAATTAATAAGTCCCAAGCAGAAGTAAATAATGTCTGACCTACATATAGCACATACATTTTATCGTCTTAGTTAATTGTTATTTATATATCGTCAATCAGTCGATTTACCCACTGGATTTGTTATTCAAAAGTTGCTTATATATTTCAAATGGATCTGAGTGAATGTCCACTTCTGTACGATGACGATTGTGAAGCCCTTCGAATGAGCAGAAAATCTTGCCATTGAACATCCAGCAGTCTCTTACAAAGTCCTTACATCTTAGAGTTTTCATCAGCTGCACATTCTTCACTGTTGCATCTTCATGGATAGCTATCCCAGATTTTGCCAGTTTCTTCCTGTTTTTTATCATGCGATGTTTTGGATCATTGGTATTGAATTTGACAATGAGTGCCCTTTTTCGACCTGGTGCCTTACTTCCAACTCTATGCGAAACATCAATATCAGAGTGAGAAATGTTTGCATCTATTTTCTCAGCAACACCAATGACTAATGCCTTGCAATCCTCATTAGCAGTTTCTTCAATCCCAGTTATTTTAATGTTAGATTTACGTGAGTATTGTTCATTTCTGTTTAAATCTACCTCAGCTTCTAATAGACGTTTGTTCAAGACAGTGATTTTATCATTGGCCGCCATCATATCAGATTCAAATGAGTCAATGATTGTTTCATGCTGACTTAAAACTGTTTCAACATTACAAAGTCGTTCATTGTATTCTGTCATGGAGCGATTAATGGATTCAGGGATCAATTTATCTAGAGAAGAACTGATCTGAGATTCAATAGCTGCTACTATTTCATGTAGATCTGAGCTAGGTGTATGTGATGTACCAGTCTGACCATTGTCTATCAGTTTTGTAGCTCCTTGTTCCAGAGGCTTTCGCTCCTGATGAAGATATGACTCATTTAGAACTAATGGTTGTTTATGATAGATATCCAAAGGTTGAGAAATTGCATATCCATGTGATTTTAATCGTAAATCATAAGATTGAGCTGGGGATCCTGATGTCAGCGAATGGAAACTGCCAGAAATATTTTCAATGGCTGGAACTGTGAATGTAGTGTTGGTCGATGAGGCTGTGGAGGAAATAACACTGGTTGTATTTACTGATGTAAGGGTTGAAGATATAAGTGGTAAACTGAATGGTGAAGGTCCATTTTGATCAGCTGCTTTAGTTATTGAGGTTGCATACTGGGTAATATATGTTTGTGTTGATTGTGCCATATTGTAGATGATAAACAGTGCTATATAACTTAAATCCAGTCAGACAAGTACTAGTATTCAATCAAGCATAGTCAAAGTGGCCTACTGTTTGTATAGAGAACTGGTATTAAAATCCAATAAGTAGCTAGTTTATGGTGTTCCAATGTTGCAGTATAAGTACACTGTTTTTGACCTTTGTTGTTGATTCATAAAAATATCACATACACATGTAACTTGTATTTTTCTTTCCTAAATATCTCTATAACCGTACAAAATTCAGTAAATATTTTCACATATCCATTATCCTGATGTATTCAAGTATCTTGTAGTATCCGTTATATTGTCCAAATAATCCTAGATGTCATAAAATTTCATGTTATAATAGGAGCGGAATAAGTGTGTCTCACTTGTTCTACAGTTTACTCATCACCCACACAGATCAGAGGCAGAGGTATATAGGAAAATAATTGAGAATGTTTGATCCATACATAAATTTTGCCATTTGAACCTGTTCACATTCATATACTTTCTACATTTCAAATCTTTTTTCCTGAATTGCAGGCTCTGGATCTTTCTTCCAAGGTGATATATCTACAGGATGAACTGGCAATGGCAAATAATAACCTAACAGAAGAAAAGCGGAGATCAAAGGCAGAGGTATGTAGGGAAATATTTTGTTTTATACATAAATGTTGCCATTCAAACCTATACACATTCATTTGGTTTCTATATTTCAAAATCCTTTTTTGAATTGCAGGCCCTGAATCATTCATCCAAGGTGACATCTCTACAGGACGAGTTGGCAAGGGCAAATAATAACCTGACAGAAGAAAATCAGAGATCAGAGGCAGAGGTATGTAGGGAAATATTTTAGAATTTTGTTTTTAAATAAATGTTGCCATTCAAACCTATACACATTCATTTGGTTTCTATATTTCAAAATCATTTTTTGAATTACAGGCTCTGAATCATTCATTCAAGGTGACATCTCTACAGAATGAGCTGGCAATGGCAAATCATAACCTGACAGAAGAAAGGCAGAGATCAGAGGCAGAGGTATCTAAGGAAATAAATCAAAACGAAATCATTAATAACTCAAAAATCAGTAAATGGATAAAAACAAATTCGGATAAAAATAAATTAGAAAACAAATTAAACAAAACAAAAATCAGCAATTTTATTTATTTCAGGTTCAGGGCCTTTCCACAAAAGTAAAAACCCTTCAGGATGAGTTGTTAATGTCAAATAAAAAGCTGGCGGATGCTCAACTAAAATATGAGACTGAGGTATTTATACACAATGATGCACAGTTTCTGCATTATGTTATTATATTATATACAAGGTATAGAAGGAGTGTACAATAAACAATAGACGCTAATTTACAAATGAGTATATTTTCCTTATTGACCAATCTTTTATCAAAACGATGCATTGTTCAGTTGTGTTCAGTCCTCATATTTGAAGATAAAATTCAGCCAGATATCTCTTGTAATCTTAATTTAAATGAAGTTAATACATGTACCCCGGGGCCGTTTTTACAGAAACATTTTTCAGACATCACAATTTTAGATTTCTGACGCTTTTATGGCGAATTTCTCATATTAAATGTCACTTCTAAAATGTGTTGTATTAAGAGAATACAATTTAATAATTTTATTCTCTCTTATATTTGGTTCAATGACCATCTATCTTTTCTAAATTAAGGTATCCTGTTGCTTGCACGTTACTTGTGGCGCACATTGACATATTGTATCTCAAATAACCAAACCAGATGAGACATCTCGTGAAATATTTCTTAAAACCCGGCAGTTCCGCCCTGTGACATTCTTTTGTTTCAATCTTTTGACAGACTAAGTAATCTTGAGTCAAATACAAATTAATAATTTCATTTCCTCATAATTTTGGTTCCAATTCCGTATAATTTATTTTATCTAAACTGAGGTACCCCGTGGCTTGTGCTTTACATCTGGTGCATATTGTCATATGGTATCTCAAATAACCAAACCAGGTGAGACATCTCGTGAAACATCGCTCCATATGCTTGAGTCACATTTGCTCCTATTTATCGGCCAGCACTTGGCTGATTAAATGTTTTGTTCAAAATCAAATTGCATTCAGTTTTGAACAAAATACTCATTGCCCGGGCACCAGTGTTGAAGATCGGAACTAATGCCTGGGTCACATATGCTCCGATCCATCGGCCGGCGCCCGCCCGATTGAGTGTTTTGTTCAATATTGTATTCAATTTTGAACAAAATACTCAATCGGCCGGGCGCCGTAGTGAAAATCGGAGCATATGTGACCAAGGCATAATGTGACCACCGCAATACCAATCATCTCCACCATGTAATATACTTTTGTTTCAATCTATTGACAAACTAGTATTCTTGAGTCAAATACAATTTAATAATTTCATTTCCTTATAACTTTTTGGTTCCACGTCCATCTATCTTATCTTAACTGAGATAATGTATGCCTTGCGCTTCACGTGGTCCCACAAATTACCAAACCAGACATTAAGCGAAAAAATCCTTGAAAACAATAGCTAATGCACGTATTAATGACTACTAGACTACATGCAATTACATGTAATTACAGGGTGACCCAAAGATGCAACCCTTCATTTCTTTAATATTTATCTTAAATGAAGTTTGATTGCTTTGAAATTTGGCACAAATTTAATGCGGGGTCCTCTGGCAAAGTTTAAATAATCATAGTCATATATTGATAGAGTTATGGTCGTTCCAAAATATGCTTTGAATTGAATGAAGTCTTTGTGTACCAAATTTAAGAGCAATCAACATCCATTTAAGAAAAATATTGGAATGGAGGGTTGCATTTTTGGGTCACCCTGTATATATACTTATGAATACATATACACTAATCAAGAATTATTTTGTTTCATTCAAGTACTAAAGGTAGTTCACAAAAAGTCTTTGAGATCACGTTCTCCTTTCTCAATTCTATATTACAGATACAGCAACTTCAAAATGCCCTTGCCCAATCCCAAGCGTCAATAACTGCATTAGGGGAGTTGCACGGATTAGGGGTGACTAATTGATCTAATACAAAATCATTTGATTTTTATATTTCGAATCAATTTTCAATTGCAGGTTCTGGATCATGTAATGCGGATTTAAGCACATTCATTTGATTTTTATA